GTCCGGCAACCGATAACAATCAGTAGCCTATCAGTGACAAATAAGTGGTAAGTGATGAACCCCTCGAAAAAAGAAGAGTGCTGGGTTCGGTGAAGTCTTGTCATGACCATTTTATAGCAAAGTTCAGCAGCGAAAATATGTGCACAGATAGAACAAGATCCAATTGCTACGCGGAGCTCAAATAAACCGAGCAGTTCAGGGTAAAGCAGAGGTAGAAATTAAGAATGACCTCGTTAGTGAAACCGCTTACGTTGACGGGCAGGAGATTGATATATCTAGAAAAGGTGTGCGGGGCTCAAAAATAGGGCTCAAAAATGCCACTCAACAACCGGAACTAACAAGGTCTTGGTTCCAACTCGAACCAGCCTGCTACCTCCGGTGATTATTCAGAGCCGTTCATGTGAAAAATAACAGCCTTCAAGCACGAGCAGTAGTAGTCACAACAGAAGAAGTGGTGGCACTAAACAAGCGAACGCCGATTATAAGAGTTTTCTGCCTAAAAGCCGGCCACTCAACCACAGGGTAATCTTCTTATTGAGAGAGCGACTAAGAAATGTTGGCAATACGCCAGATTAAAGAGACTTAACCATGACGTCAAAAATATTATCGTTGTTTGGTATAAAGAATGAAGTATCCAGCGAAGTAGTTCATTATTGCGTCATGCGTTTGACTTCAATCGGAGTTAATACAGGCTACAAAACAATGCTCAACTTCATCACCATCCACATGTTGAGCTAGTAAATAATAACGTAACGATTTGTCCAGTCAATGGTGCTTCTTCAACTGCAAAGCCCCCATGCGCTCATGGGTTTTGTTGAACTCATTTTTTTTTCACAGGATTATGTTCTTCCAGTGCTCCGAGTGATCTCGACCGGAAATTAAAGAGTACACTCCAATCTATCAAAAAGCTCCATGACATCTTTCTAGTCTGAAGACATCAGATTATTATCCTTTCAGAACATGGTGCACGGAAAAGCTCAACGAGGTCGTCGAGAGGATTGTGGACCACTCGACGTTATTGAAATGCTGGGCGGATCTGGAGATTCAGAGCTACTGTCTCTACGAACTATCCACATTTAATCGATTGAAGAAATTATGTAGCAGCTTCAGGCTGGAGCGATTACGGTAAGCCTCGTTGAGCTCGACGGTGATGACAGATGACGTCATATTCTGAAGACGGTGAGGGCAGTGAAGGAGGGCCTGCTTCTGCTTGGGGGGACATCTAAGGAATATTTGCCGTAAAACTTCCATCAACAGCGGCATCCTACGCGACGAAAACTTTGTTAATGTTAGCTGTGGGCGAGATGACCCCCACTTCATTGCGCCCACCTCTCCCCCTCCCTCTTCTGCAGAAGCATTCTTTATAAAGATAGGGCGCATCAAGCGCTTGTTTCACGCACAGCGATCGAAGCTGTTGATGTTACGGGTCCCTAGACCTGACTACGGGCGAAGAACAAATGAAGATTGAGCAGCAAGTGAAGGCGATGTAGTGGAGCAACGCATATGAGCAATCGCAGTCTTAAGAGAGAGAATTTTGCGGTGGAAAGTTCAACGTGGTTCAGTAATGCTTCAAATAGGGTCTATAAATCCTTAGGGGTAACAGCGTGGCTCTTTAGTAGTAAGAGCGAAAAGGATATAATGATGCTATTGGTTGACAGCTTGTTCTGCTTCTACGTGGGTACGAAGCCTTCTCAAATTGTTGGAAAAGAACAGGGTACGAGAACTGTCTGAGGCAAAGGGAAAAGATCGTCAAAAAGAGCTACGTCATTGTATTCTCAGAGGAGCGAGCAAAAATCATCAATAGAAGAAAAACTCAACTGAGCTTTAGTATTGATTATTTGCCCCTGACCATGGACGCAATTTTGTTCGATTTTCTGCTTCTTTTTCTGCCGCTTTTCAAAGATACGGCTGAATTTTCCACTACTGATTTCATTGACCCCAATTGATTCAAGTGAATCTCTGTCCTCTGGAATACAGACAACAAATACGCTTTTTAGAGAAAGAGAAGACCAAGGCTACCTGAATTACCCACCCAACACCGCGAAATGCGGCAGTATAGGTTTCCCTATTATTATGGCAGGTGGCAATCAAAGGGAATGTGCAGTTCAGACGGATGAGGAAACACTCTCTTTTACGGCATCGTTCGAAGATATGAGGATTAGCGTAACAGCCATTGGCTAGCCATAAGACTTCTCTATTCAGAGACCTGTCCAAGAACAAAGGATGTTGATTGCTGACGAAAACAACGGAACAGCTACTACGGTAATGTAATTGAGATTACATTATCTGATTTAGTAGGATGGTGATAACCTGATAGATCTCTGCTATTGAGATTAATAAAGAAGATGAATGCTCAAGAAACGCGCAAAAGCTCTCACATGCAGGAAAACCTCTTCTGAATAATTCATTCGTCGCGAAAGCTTGCGATTTTCATTGATGTTGTGCTTTTTGTTTGTTTATGAAGACTACTGACTTTGTGAGCTTCGTTACACAACATTACCAGAATAGATTTCAGTCAAAACTAGCTCTCGAAGAAATAAATAGTAGAACCTAAGTCATGCACTGGCCAGAATCAACAGAAGGCACACAGAATTTGAAAAATCAGTCAAAAACTGCAAGAAAAGATGCTAACTGTGAAAATATAATAGATATGTAGCAAAGGAAGTATGCTAGAAAATGGGGCTTGGAGCAGCCGACTATTGAGCCAGGAGGAAGCGTTTATGTCTATTTTCTATACTTTCACTTTCCGGAGCCAATAAAAAGAGCAATACCCTTTGGAGCGCATTATCCTTTTTGTTAGAGTGCTCTCGGATTCTAATCCCTTTTGCATCTCAACTGTTTTCAAATCCTCAGTGACGTGTAAGGCCAGCCGATGTCAGAGTGAGCCACGGAAAGGATATGTTCGGGAGCGGTTCTATGCTCTTCCTCCTACACTTTCTCCAGCGCTCCTGTGTAGCTGATTGAAATTTGGAGTTTTAAAGCGTGCCATTGACGCTAATGGAATATGAGGGAGGGGAAAGAGGGGAGGGGTAATACAGGAAGGAAGAAAGGGCTTCAATACGTGTAGCGAGTGCAGGAAGAGTCCGTATTGATCAAAATGTCCTTGCATGTAACGCGCAGAAAAACCGATGTAAATAGAATAATTCCAAGTATCCAAGTCTACTACTGTTGCTGTACACAGACACCCGAAAAGTAAAATGAAGCGAAACTCCTCTGCTCTCGGAGGGACAGCATTTCGTTGTGGCTACTTGCTTCATATGTTCTGGAATCCACAGATCAATGAATGCTAAGTACTGCAGATTTCAGAGAAACGTGTATCATTGCATTTACTTGAAACGGATACACTGACATGAAGGAAAGACAAGCCGCGAAATGACTGCAGTGACCAGAGGCTGAGGCTCACCACAACCGAGAAGCAGAATTGGGCTGGAAATGAAGTCCTGTAACGACTCCACAGTCGAACGGATAAATCTACGAGATATTACTGAAAGTAGTCAGAGTTCCACAATCATGTGTGATTCAAGCTTCAAAATCGTTTTTCGGCCTGATCACTGGAAATTAAATGCCTTAGCAAGAATTCCACAGATCAGGAAGCTATTTTATATTAATATAATATTTTTCTCGTAAGAAGTGTCGTTTTTAAACGAAAATTTCCCGGGATTTTCTAAAACTCCGTAGTTTTACAACAATTGTCGTTCCTATCATTAGAAAGAAAATTACCTGCCCAAGATAATCCTTCCATAAATACTATCGCTACTTGAATTTAAGGCATGGAAATAGGTGGTCCAGTTCACAATGAGCTAAGCTGACAACTAGCTCTCTATTTCGCACGAGGAAGAATCGATCAAAAGTGCACCCTGGACTTTGGTCACGACGTTTTCTAATACATAGTTTCGTTATCAAATTGCCGGAAAAGCCTTGTCCATGTTCATGTTCGGATTTCGCTGGCCACAGCAGAGTTGAACCAAAAATTTTCATGTGAAACTTCATTGTTCCAAAGCAAGAGAATAACTCGTTTATCCTCGCGCGGGCTGTTTTACTTTCGTTTAAACTAAGTCGATCTTTAGGTCTTAGTGATAGTGTCCAGTCCACCGGCAAATGGCGCACGTAGCATGTACTTGTGAGTGGGGATAAAATCAATTGGGCGGGGGGGGCGCTTCCAGCTTCCACGACTCATGACACAGGGCGAAGAAGGAAAACCCATTAGTGGAGAGACAAGCGAGATCCCCCCTGAGGATGCAATTCGCATTGAAGGGTTTGCCCCTAGCTATCAGACATGGCCATCCCTTTGGCGCAGTCGACCCGGAACGCCCACCTACATAGCAGAGAAGTGTTAGCGTTGAAGAGGGAACGGTAAGAGTCTCATCAAATGGCGAAATCAGACAGTGCAAGTAAAGGGGGGTGCATGCTCGGTTTTTGGGCCGATTTGACGTGGTTTTTTCTTCGTTCTGACTTCACTAACCACCTCTACCTAATCCAAAAGGCTACTTTTTATCGAAAAATCCGCCTTCAAGCTGAAAATCTGGGATCTGTTCTAACTATACAAAGGTCTCGGCTGTAAAAAATTTGGTTTCGAATTCCGAAATAATGCAACCATACAATTAACCATACAGTTCTGACGGGCATATCAAGTTCGGAAAAGGACTGACAATGACTTGAAAATCTTAATAACGTAATTTTCGGATGTGATAGTAACTACATAGAGACAATGCACATACAGTAGCGCTCAAAAGTACTCGGCCAAATACTATTTTGGTTATAACTTTTTTCTATTATATCAAATCGTACGAAATTTTCCTATGTTGTACCCAAGCTCAAGGTAAACAGATGATAGTATTTTTACCTCACGCAAGAAGAGGTTAGCGATTACATACAAGATATTTGCTGCAACATCAACTTCTTCGGTCTTCAAGGTTGGCACCTCCTGAAATTTTATGCATGCAGTACTAAATTTTTTACATCCTATTCACCATGTATTGTTTCGGGTATGTATAAGAAGCATGACTAAGACGGCAAAAGTTCTCCAAGGTACCCGCGAAGCAGCCGTGAACATGAAAGCCGCCGGTACGAAGGTCAGCACCATTGCACGAGGATTCTGGGGATCCCACATCAGACCATCACATCAATCCTTCAACGCTACCAGGTTAGGAATTCTGTTTTTTAAACTGCGGAGGAAGGGAAGACCTCGCTGTACCACTGCTGGACAAGATAGGCGTATCATTCGCCGTTCTAAAGCCGACCCTAACCTAAGTGCAGTCGACATTGCCGCTGAATTCAGGGTGAGCGATGGCAAAATCAGTCGGCAGACCATAGGGAGACGTCTCAATGCAGCTGAACTCGAAGGAAGAAGTCCAGCCAGGAAACCGCTTATCAATTCGAAAAATCGGAGAGCGCGAGTGGAGTTCGCACGCAGTCACCTCCACTGGACCTCGGCAGAGTGGAGCAAAGTTCTCTTCACAGATGAGAGCAAGTTCATTCCGTTCGGAAGTAATGGTACTGTGTACGTACGTCGCCCTTCCGGTGAATCCGAAATACATTAAGCCTAGGCTTAAAGGAATCTTCCACGGAAAAAGCTCCGCCCTCATTACCACAGAAAACGATACCTTAAAGGAATCTTCCACGGAAAGAGTGATCATTTTGTCTTGTGTGTAGGATTAGTATTATCGAAACTAACGCTTATGTTCCGTTCTTTTTGCTATGCTCATGAGGCTAGGGGCCTAAGGGGTATCGTTTTTCTGTGGTAATGGAGGCGGAGCTTTTTCCGCGGAAGATTCCTTTAAACACTGTGGAGGATCAGTAATGCTGTACGGCGCCCTTTCGTTAAATGCCATGGGACCTATCTTGAATATAGATGGAGCCATGACGGGGAAGCTCTTCAAGGACATGATGGTGAACGATGTGCTGCCGTTGGCACAGCAGAGTATGCCCGATGGATGAGTTCTGCAGCAGGATAACGATCCGAACACCTCCAGGATCGTGAGAGCAGCCCTTGAACAGCAACATATCAGAATTCTTGACTGGCCGAGCCATTCCCCCAGATCTCAATCCTATTGAATACTTGTGGGAGGAACTCAAGAGGCGTTGTTCGATGGAACCAACCAAAAACAGGGACGAAAAGTTTGCTCAACTGGTGACCCGAATGGTACGCAATGCCGCCGACTGTCATCCAGAAGCTCATCGACTCAACGCCTTCCCAGTGCGCCGTTATCATCAAGAATCGTGGTTTCCCACCAAATACCAATACATTATTTCTGATGCACTTATTTTACAATTGAACGGTTTTTTTTGAATGTGTGTGGTTCGTAAGTTTTACTGATATTGAGTTTTCGCTCTGGAGAACACCTTGAAAAAAAGCAGATGGCAGTCAAACTTGAAATGTCTCTAATACATTTAGGCAGAACATAGTAAAGTTTCGTGACATTGAGTCAGTAGAAAAAAGTTGTAGTCGAAATAGCATTTGGCCGAATACTTTTGAGCGCCACCGCATGTCGCTGTCCGACCTCTTCTAGGGAAGGATAGAGTAAATGTTGGTTGTCGGTTTACCTGAATTTCTTCGCTAGACTTCCATTTTGCATGTCATAAATTAGATAGCCATAAGTTCCAGAAAGTCATTCATACTATTCCGTAGACCATACTTTCGGATTTTATGTACGTACGTATATTGATGTAAAGCAATGTAAATAGCTCGAGAAGTGACATGAGAAAAAATGAGAAAATTGGCAGTACTTATGGGACAACCCAGAGTTACTAGTCATTCTAAATGCAGATTATTAATTATGCTAATGAAGGAAGAACGGCTCTAGAGGCTCCTAAAATTTGACGCTCTGATTTTTCAAAATTGCAACGAATGAATGAGCTCGAGACAGTCTCTAAATGTGGCTTGCATTCGCGTAGCCAATTAAAATCACAGAGAGGCAGTATAAAGCACAGCTAAGCCAAAACACACGTTTCTAATAGCTTATTGTTCGCTGTTTTTCTCGTGAATGACGTAGAAGTGAGTGTTCCAGGCGAAATTTGAAGCGGAATTGAGCTGGAAACCTTGGTCTGACGGTCACCATGGCAGCCTCATCAACGACGTAATTGCACCAGAAGCTGTGCCGCTTTGGTTGTCCGAGGAATGTCGCCATCCGCTCACAATGAA